ATATTCATGATCACATTTTTTAAGTTTTATTGAATCATACAATTTAAGTATCAATGAATTATTTATGTAATATTTATAATATTAAATATATCTGAAACAAAACAGTATTTATAATTGCAATATAATAATGAATTAAGAAGTTAAAAAAAGTTTATCTCATGTAAGTATTATATATTTCAAGTATTATTGTATAATGTCAATTTACTATGTATCAGAAAATATGATTCTGTAAAAATAGCCATCATAATTTAATTGAAGGAGAACATATTTTACTATATGTTGAATTTGATTCTGCATAAATATTTGACAAAAAAAAATATATTGGTACATTATATATTGGTTTATACGGTTGCTTTTTTTTTATATGTATAAATGGGTCAAATAATAGCGGCTAATATTAATTACAAATAAAAAAATACTCTACAATTTAAAATAATTATTTTTTTTTCTGAAAGGCGGTTATAATTAATAATATTATTTATTCAAGCAATATAAAGATCAATAATTTATTCCCCTTTTCGTAGTCTATAAGTTAAGCCGTAAATAGCGTTTTATTCATTTTGACATTTATTCTGTTTATTTTATTTTCCATTTAAACATGGTTTTGTTGCCTTTATTCGTCTACAACTGATGGCATACTTTGAGTAAACAACTTCTTTTTCGTATATTTTACTTATAAATATAAAAAAAAACGGTAAAGTATGAACAATTTTATAAAAGAAACACAAATTATATGATAATCTCAATATTTATTTAAACAAATTATTTAATAATTTAAAAACATTAACCATATTTTTTTGATAATATCTGTTTTTGATACATTGAAAACATATTGAGTTTATTGTTTTAAACAACCAGCCATTGCTGTAAAATGCATTTAAAACATTTAAAGATGACTGATTCTGACGTATTGACGTGCGTAATGAAAGTGTATAAGACATTCATATTCATATTTTGTATTATTATGTAATGAAAAGCTATATGTTATCTTTTTTTGTTCTCATAAAATATTTCTTTATTTTTTCATCATCATTATTCATTTTACAAAAAAATATTTTAGAATGTAAATATTTTTCCCCTACGTCTCAAGAAAAGTTATGTTAGAATTGTATTTTGTTAAGCTGTATTTGTTTTAGTATTATTTATATTGAAATATGAGTAGGTAGTAAATTATATTAACAGGGAGAAAAAAAGTAGCAAGTACATAAATATAGATTGGTAAACATTATACTTCGGTATAAGTTATTATAATGAGTGTTTAAGTTGAGAAACCCACACAAGTCTGTGAGATCTTGACAATTAGTGAACCCCCAAAAATATTGATTGCGCCCGTGGAATGATAATAGGTATACTACAATATGCATTCGTTTAAACCCTTAACTTACGGAAAAAATCCCACCATTTACTACATAAATATTGTTATATATTTTGTATCAAATAAAAGTCAATACAATAAACATACAGCTTTAACGTGCTTTACGATGCACGAGCTAGTATTAATATAATAATATTATTAGTATTATATACCATATACCTAAATTGGGTTCTGCGTCGATTGTATAGTCTGCCAGTATCCGTTGCAGCACATTGTCATGTTTTATTAGGTATACCTAATAATGGACTTCTATCGGAAATCTGTATAATATTATCAAATTAATTTTGAATACCTTATTTCGTAGGTATTATTATTAATAATATTATTTTGAGTACCTATACGTAATTCGGACAGCGTTCTAGTAAACGAGTTATAACCAGCCACACTTGGTCCAAATGTTCTAGTGGTTGCGTTTGGAATTTTAGACAATATTATTCTTGTTTTTAATCAATTCGCTATTCAGCGACCGCCAATTACAACTACTGTTGCACACTTCACGTATGTCAGTCACTGTATGTGTACGACTGTTTACGTTCATTGGACTGCATTACAGTTATTAATACTACGACTGCAGACTTATACTTCTACTACTACCAATTATTATGATAATAATAATATATTCTAAAAGTGTGGACGTCGACTGTCGAGTACGGAGCACACTGCGGTGGCGAGCCCGAGACAATGCCGGAGACTTCTTCACCGGCGACGTTATTGTTCTATGCTCGTCCCAATATTTTAATAATATAATAACACAATTTATTATCATAATATTATGCGCCGCCGCACTACCGCGGAGAGATTTTCGCCGGTCGAACGGTCGCCGCGTGTATATAACATTCAATGACAACAATGACAAATCAGCCTTTATTCATGTGGAGTATTTCAATGGAGAAGAGCGGGCTCCGGCGATGCTCGGCAGATTTCAAATTTGTTTTTGTTCTATTCATTCATGCGATGACGAACGATCCGTTTAGTGAAAACAACAGAACACTTTTGGCCGAATGATGATATTGCAGTGATCGGAACGTGCTCGTGTGTGTTCTAAGTGCGTCCCGTCGGGTTTACTCGTATGTGTACAATCTTAAATTGCGTTCTTAACACACGTTGTGGGTGCCAAATTGTGAGTGGGTGGGAGGGGTGGACGTCTTTGAGATACCGGAAATAAACGCGTGATGCAAATAATAATAAAACAATATATTATAATGCGATGGACATGCGAGAGAGGAAAATAGATCTGTTAAAGTTCTCTTATTAGGTCATTCGGGTGAGTCCGCATCGCCACCGTAATAAATATTAGACTGTATAGTGTAGTCCAAAGCCATTGTGACTTTGATCTTGCAGCTTGTACTTTAAATTGTTCTGAATTAATATGGAGTAAAATAATTATAGGAGTTGGTTCTTTTAATCCATTAAATAATATCTTATTAAGACTTTTAATATATTATCCGATCATATTGATCTAACAATTGTGTATCGAAACAATTTGTTTAGTATTATTATTTAAGATAAGCGTGTCTGACTGACAATTGCTTAATGTGTAATTATATTAACATTGTTGATGCATATAATAACATTGTTGTTAAATAGGTACCTATACAATATATTGTTCAACCTTGTCCGGCGGAGGAAAATAGGAGTATTCTTTGTAAAACACTTCAGTATCAAAACACCACTAATTGATGTACTCGAAAACTTTACACCTAAGTAATATTATCGTCACCTTACGTAATACATGTTAATGAATTTCAGGATAAAAATATAAAAGCAAATTAGCTCAAATTTGGTATATTGAATCTAAGTACAATAATATTTACATACATGTATGATAATAATATTATATTATGTAGTATTTGTGGATAACAACTTTTAGCCCTCTAGTCATCGATGTACTCTTAGAAATTTAACACTGATTTTAATAGCTATTCTTCCGCACGTTATAGCGATATTATGAAATGTTAAAACCTATATAATTTCTGTCTCAAAAGCCAAAACCTACTTTTTAAGCCGGTAGTTATTTTGTTTATTTGTTTTTTATTCCATACCATATATTATATTGTAAATAGCTCCTTTACGGAAATTCGGATAATTTATTGCGTACCTACGGCGGCGTATGTGCCCCTCGACGATATACGCTCGTGAAATGTTTGGCATGCTTAATAATATGCTATACCTTCATGTTGTAGTAGACGATAGGTAAAATGTGTTGATTGGGTCGATACACGATGTAAATCGATTTAAAAAGTTCACGCTGGCGTCGGTGTAGCGCAAGCTCGTTGGCGAATAGGCTTATAAAATTATTCTACATATACCATCATATAACCCACGTCTACTGGAACACGTACTATACTTTTGCCAAAACAACCGTCGTAACAAAAAAAGCAACAAACCTTATACAGTGACAGTCTTCCGTGTTATTTTGTTGAAAAGCTCAGTCGACTACCTACTATATCGGCACAATTAAAATGGATATACAAAAATAATATGTTTTATAGCAATACAAATAATAATATATCAGTATGCTATACCTTAATACCTATGGTATAATCATCATTGTTAGCCATACACCTATTGAACCAATTTCAAATCAACGTTCGCCTATCTTTTACGATGATAGCAATAAAATTATAGTTTTTGAATTATATACAACGAATTATAAGACGTTTAGACTTTAATTGTCCTTGATGTAAGACGCACATATGTATCGTTGCATAATACCATCACGGAAATGTCTGTGGCTTATTTTATTTTTTATCACAGTAGGTATGTATGTTATATACAATTATAATATACAAGTATATAACAGAACAAATAACGAAATTCAAACTTTGAGTCGAATACAAACCCAAAAGAAAACTCTCATTATTTACCGACTGAATATATATGTTTTTAGGAGTAGGTATAATGACTGTATTATCTTATATCTATATGACTATATTATTTATTTACTTGATAAATTATTAACTAATCATTTTCGGTGGTATAAGTAAACGAACACGATCAAGTCGAAATGTTTATTTTTCAAATTGTATACAATAAAAAAAGAGAATACAATTTATTTTAATAGTTTAAATATATTGTTCTATGCAATTCAATTATACCGTTTCTTCGTTTCATCTGGTATATACACGGCTCGTTATTTTTTACCCTCGGTGTGGAAATGCAGAATGGAAAATAATAAAAATTCAAGATCGTTTTATTTTTGGGAAAACGTGATCATTAAAATAATATATACAAAAATACAATTCGCAAATATCATATTACTTTTGACTAAATAAAATAAATCCAACTTTGGAAATTTAGAATTATATTATTCCTTCGAAGCAGTATTAATGTTAGATTTACTCTTGTTTGCATTTAGGTTCTATATCGTGTATTCCTATACTACACGATAGGTAATAAATTACCTCATACACAGTCCTCTAAGCTACTGAAAACTTATCTATAAGGGATAGAAAACCTTCTCTGGATAACTAATATCGTTAAAGGGTTATCCCGTACACGTTGCCAGTACCTATCATCTATATATTAGGTATTATATTGTTTAAGTTATGGATTATATTTTAATAATACTATACCTACTGTATTGGACTTACAATTTTGAATTTTCAGGACTGTGTCGATGATGATGATCCAAGTGGTGACAGTGTTTGCAGCGTTATTGGCAGCCACCAGTTGCCAGCAGCTTCTGCAACAGCAGTTCAGTGTAGTCGATCCGAACTCCGGCCAAACAGGATCTGTGGGTTTTATGCCGATGAAAGACGACCGTCGCATGTCTGAGACGATTCCTGAACGACGGACATCCGAACCAGCTCCTGAATCGTCGTCACCGCAGAGCAGAGATTATTCGGGTGGTCCAGAATTTTACGGTTACAACAACTATCCAGCCAGTTACGGGCCACCGAGCTCCAGTTACGGGTCGTCAGGTACAATAAAACGGCTGAACTTAATACTCACAATATGATTAATGGATACATACGCATGGCTACATGTATTAAAGCAAAAACAAAAAAAAAAACTATCGAGTCCGTAATCAATAAATCATCAATAAATAAATGTCAAAATCGATAAATTAAAATCATAGATGTAGGTGGTTTGTTCACTTACTTAAAATAATATTACATAAATATTAAAGACGAGAAATAATAATCATTGACATTTTTGAGAAAATACAAATTGGAATTGTAATCAAAACTTCAAAAGTAGGTAAATCGCATGGTTGAAGTACACAAGGTTGTTGCATATATACCCCTTTTCAATAAAATGTTTGATGATAAAAACAAAAATGCATGCAGCGTAAATGGATCCAATAATAATCAAGTATGTAAGGCCGGGATTTTGAATTTGTTAGCTTTTTTCAGCGTATTCTTGATGATAAGAAAAATTGATATTTGTGATATACCCTTTACGCAGCCATTTGGTTTCTTATGATGACAATCCGAGTCCATGTGCAATAACCTGTATATTTCAAACATGGTATATGGCAATTTTAAACGTTTTAATCATACATTTCCCAGACTTGAAAAATATTTTAGAACACGATATTAAGTTTTAGTGCAGTGAAACGCGAATAAGTAGGTAGGTACATTGTACCTACATTACGTTAGCAACCTGCTGCAGCTGTCCACTGCAGCAACCGCGCAGGCACGTCCTGTCAGTTGTCAGTAAAAGGGATTTTCTTTTGATATTCGAGTATATTAATAACAAACCGTGTAAAAATAAATAACAGAAACGACCGTTACTCTTGCTCATAATGTGTAATAGGTAATTACTTATAGTAATATAATATAATGTCAGGTACAATATAGATAAACTATACACCTAAGTGATGATAGCTTTTCTATTATGTATAATAATTATAAAATATAGTAATAATCGTGTGTGTTAGCTTGCAGTTATCTAATGCTATCGTTGAACAGTTCAATAAATTTCAACCCAACATATTTTTTTCAAACATACAAAATAAAATCCATATAATATATTATACTGAGTGTATGTGTCCGAAATACATTATTTTAACTAAAATATTAGACTTATATTCTTATATTTTCGATTGTCTTAAAAGTGAAGATGCATTTAAAACAAATGCAGAATATGATTGGAGAATTACCTAGAGAATTTGTGATTTTTTTTAAGAGTACGAATTGTGTTTATTATGAGTGGAAAAACATAGGAACTAAACAATAATAATTCCGTGAAAATATAATACGATTTTATGAGAATAAATTAAAACAAGATAATTTATATGTGAAAATGATATTTACGATCACTTACCACGATAATTTATAATACAATAGGTATACAACAGGTTAATATGAAGTCAAAATCATAACTGTACATTAAGAGAAAAATATATATGAGTGAAAATATAATATAATACATCAATGAATATATTAACACAATATTGTGTATGTCCTAGAAATATAAACTCTCCCCTAATGACGAATGACAGTCACCATAAAAGATAATATTACATTGTTATTATTATTAGTATTTTGTTTCTTCTTAAAGAATGTTGTATTTCTGGGACGGACTAAGTATACAGAAATGCTGCAGAGGAGTAATTAGAGTGGTATTGTAAAACAAAATAGGATGCGTCATCGAAAAAAATAACAAAACCTAACTAGAACAAACGAGATAAACACAAATGATTTTAAGTGTATTGTCTACATTTATGTAAATACAACTTTTTTGTCGTAAATCAAAGACTTTCACTGCTATCGATAACAAAAAAAAAAAAAACATAAATTAATTAGTAGGTATATACGATTCACACCGATTCACAGGAGGGAAAGTTTTAATTATTTGTTTTCATATTGCTAAAAAATGTATTTTATTTCTTGGTTCGAATAAACAATAACTATTTAGAATCCAAACAAGCTTCTATTCAATCCTACTGTTTACACTTGTAACCAATGACTGAATCAGGTGACCTCGAGGAACAGCGTGCTATAGAAAACGTATTAAATATTTGAAATACTACAGCTCGTAAAAAATCATCAAGTCAAAAATTGGAATATTGACATTATTATTAAATCAATTTTATTAAATTACATATTTTGATATATTTAAAAAAAAACATAGTATAATGTCCATACAATTTCTACCAACTTAATTCTGTTTTAAAAATGTTCAATCTTTCCATAAACACTATGGATAATAGCTTCTAAAGAGTACTCAATAATCGTCTTGATGATAAAACGACTTAAGTGCAAAAATTAAAATTAAAAAAATATTTGTGTCAAAGTGCGGGGTTTGTTGACACAGACGTTTTTGGTGTTTCACAATCACTAAAAATAAATCGTCTTTAAAATGTACAACATACATCACAGACATATAGATTAATCATTTTATAATATAAAATATTTTTATTAAAAGTGTTAATTTGAAACTATTCATAAATAATTACCGTTTTTAAAAACAAATGTAAAAATATTACATAATATGCCTGACTGATAACAACTCTGAAAATAACTTGCATTAAATAACTATCGTTTCTTATGTACCTACCATTTATTGTAACATTTCACGATTGATAAAACTAAAAATAATCTTTGAAACTAATCCATTCACCCATCACCCGAATCATATAATTATGACAAATACTCGTATCAATTTGTCTCAAATTATCTACATCAGTAAGCCTAAACAATTTATTTATTCTATTAATTAACTTATTTGAAAAAAAATTTGGGTTTTTATTTTTTTAATTTCCACAATATTATTATATCGTTATTTATTTATAGATTTGTCTTTATTATGGTAATTTGTTTTTTGATATACCTACAGTAAAATAGGGGTTTTTTATTCACCTAAAAATGATTTGAACACGTTAAGGGATTTAATCGCATGCAATTTTAGTTTTATGTGTGATAATGGATTATCATAATATGTTTGATGCATAGGCGCCAGGCGGTGTTGTATCGTGGCCAACAAAGGTTTTAAAATTCGAATTTGATGTGTTTTCACTTATCTTTATAGCTGACTTGACCCGGTTTCCCCTCATTTTAGATTCTGAGGGGATAAAATTATTGATTACACAATGATGCATTTTATAATTGAAAAAACATTCTTGGGGACTTGACATTATTAAGTGTACACTTATATTTTACTAAATGGGATACAATTTTCAAAATATTTAAACGGATTTTAACTATTGGCTACCGTATCTCTAATAGTAAAATAAATTACTACTATAGCGATATAATTTATATGATAATAATATAATATACACTTCATAATATGAGCCGACAGGCAGTCCCCGTTTGGTCGTTTAGAATCCTTTTTCGTATGCAATGATTTATCATTAAATTCAAATTGAACACATCTATTACAGTGACGAGTGACCTACTCAATTATAAGGTGCACTAGACTATTATACTGTACAACAATATTATTATGATGGATACCTACTTGCCGACTATTTTTTTATTTAAAAAAATGTATACTTTATTTAACCAAATATTAATAACAACATATAGAGATTCATAAATAGATTTTAAAACTTTTTGTGGAACTTCAAAAAATAATGCATAATGAACAATACATTAGTTATAGCTAATGTAATACTTTTTACATATTGCCTATGTATATTACTTATATAATATATCGATTCATGAAATCACCAACATACTATATTATTATCCAATAATATCCATTATTATCAAATATTCCATAGGTAGGTACATTAATAGACTATCATTATTATGTATTCAAAAAAAAACAAACTTTAAATGTGAGACTATTAGTGTGAAAAATAACTACAATTTTAATCAATTTTAGAAATAACTTTTGAACCATCTGCGCCAGCTGACAACCCGTCGAGTGCTTATTCCAGTCCAGGTTACAGTCCATCATACTATCCTGGATATGGAGACGACACGAAAAAAAGAAAGCCCAGTTACGCAACACCCTACTATCCACGTATGTAAATTAATTTAAGCAAATTCAAATTTAAGTTATACATTTATGGTTGCAGTAATATAGTCTATGTATACAGGTAAAACTGAGAAACCTTCTTTGAAAGTTCAATATTTCTGATAAAATATTATGTAGGTAGGTAATGAGTAATGACTAATACCGAATAAGTAACACTAATATATTATATTATAAAGTTGATCATTTGATTTTTTTATAATTCGTTTCAGCTTCAATTATTTAAAGTTAGATATAATAATGATTAGTGTCTTAAATCTATCATTTGCTCATAGTATTCTACTTACAAATTTGAAATTAAATAATATTTAATGACGATATTAAAGTCTTAAATAGATTACCCTTTAAGTCCATAAATCATTGGGACGTCAAAAAAATTATGTGTGCGTACATATTGTGTAATAATATTTATAGTGTTGTTATTATTGTTATTATTTTTTTTTCTTTAACAAAAGGCATTTGAGTATTTGACACATTTTCCTTTTGTTAAAAATGGTGGATACTAACAAATAATGACTATGGTATTAAATTGCTCTAAAAATAATAAATTTACTTTTTTGCTATAATACATAATTTTATAAAAATAGAACCTACATGATTATCGAATGCATTTTAAACTAGTATAGGTAATAATAATATATTAGAAATCTGTTTAATATAATATAATTTTATAAATATTACAATTTCTGATTATTATTATTTGCATAAAGCACAACATTATTATTTTTATTCGTCTCAATTAAATGTTGCAAGGTGATTGGATTTATGTTAAACACAATAAATAACATTTTTATGCAGATAAAATTGTATAAAAGCTTATAGTTAAATGTACCTATAACTTTCACGAGTCTTGGCATGAGCTCCTTTTTATGCTCCGTTATTACAGTATAGTGGGTATAATTTATGTGCGATTTATTCAAAACAAATTAATTATAATATTCAACTATGAGGTTTATTTACCGAACTAGGTAATAATATAAGCAGAGGACGCATGCGTTTGTTGTCTCTATCTTACAAACGTACGGCATGGTACATTTTCGTTCACTAGTTTCAATAGTGTGCTGCGTAATACAGTGAATTCACCTATTCTCAAACTTTTAGGTAAGAACATTATCTGTGCTTAAATATCGAATAAAAGTCGACGCTTGAGCATATAGTCTGTTCAGAATGAGATCGGCGACCAGTTTTCATCGTCATTGGTCCTACGCCGCCCGTACCGATCTCATTCTGAACAGACTATAGATAATGTTCCTACCCAAAAGTTTGAAAATTCACTCTAATATCAAAACTATAACAGCACTCTATTGAAACTAGTGAACAACAATTTGCTATGTTGTACGTTTACAAGACTGAGATAACAAATACACGGGTAGGGTCCTCTTAAGGAAAATCTGAACCTAAATAGCATAATATTCTCAACTCTCTATGAAATCAACTAGGTACGGAAAGCATATATTTATATAGAACGTACCATTTGTTTGTGCTTGTCTTCCGATGCTCCGTTTATTATAAATGTCTATAAAGTGTTCTCGATAATAATATGATCAAACATTTAGTAGGTAAACAGACTTAAATACAAAGTATACACCATACTCAGTTTATTAGACAGTGTATATTATTAAATTATTACAAAGTAGACTATATTATAGTATGCGTATATACGATTCACGGTATTTATATATTTTTTTTTACTTAAAGTATCACTGCACTTCACCATAATAGTCCATAATATTTATGAACTCATTTGACGTTTTACGATTTTATTGCTAAACAAAGCAGTGGGGCGCTATCGATAGCCTTTACCGTGTAAAGGGACTGGAAAATAAAATATAAAAACCGCGAGAGAGAAATGTGACTTTTCGTTTAACGTAGGTGGGCGGATGAAAAATACAATATTGCATGCATAAACGCTTATTATTGAGTAAACGTGCTCTCGAACACCGCTCAGCCGTTAAAGGTAGTTTTACCAGCAATTTGTAACGAATTTCAAAGGTGAGTGAAAAATGATATTTTCGTACTGCTGCATCGGAGTAGACGACGACGCACATAAATGGTGTACGCAGAAAAATATTATAATAATATTATACATTTTGTAAGTCCACGGTCGACTGATCGATTCAGACATTCACGATGATTTACCGTGACTTACGTGTGTGTGTGTGTGTGAGTTGATCGTGGTGTGTTAGTCGATGGCGGGAACGGAGGGTAGTATTATATTAGTATAAAAATATTATGGGTATACTATCGACGTCATCGTAGGAAAGAGAAATCTGTGGGGTCCCCGAGCACCGCGACCGTGCTCTATCAATTTAATTAACTCCCATTGTATAATATTATTATTATGTCTATGTAACGCGTATGGTTTGGTCGGTCCAATTATAACGTACCCGCACGGGATCGAAACAACAATGTATAAATTATTATTATTATTATTATTACCTACGTATAGGCACCTACATAATATATAATATAATAATGTATCCATTTGAGATAAAAACGAAAATGAAAAACAAAAGCAATAGTGATAATTTGATAAACCGTTGGTGGCAAGCTTAGCGTCACACGCACATACTCGGGCCATGATACATACGTGTACGATATAAGTTCGTATACTCGGCTGTCGTCTAATAATTTATCATGATGATAATAATATATTAATATTAGTACAATACACGTGCGCCAGTTATGATTTATATTATTATCTTAATACAACATTGGACGGACAGGCGGGAGAAATTTTATTCATAGACGCTCACAATAATGAAATTGATTAAACATTGTCTAACCGGAACACCGACAGACGCGCCGTGGCTGTACATATCGTTTAAGACAATAATACAATATTATAATATGATATTTTATTGTAAGCATTCATCGCGTGTTCATATCACATTCAACGTCAGTTCATAATATAATTATAATAATACATAGGTATAATCATTGCAGGTGAAGGCGCGTGCACGTTATCAGTTTATATTTAAAAAAAAATGTCAGGGACGTTTAGGCGCATTGGGTTTTATTTTTTATCTTAAATATTTTTTTAAACCAAAGACAAAAGCTGAGGCCGCAGTCAACGGTTTTATATTATTATAATATAATAACATTATACAACGACCGCAATAATATAATAGTTTTGTAAAGTCACTGCCCGAATTCAGGGGCGTAATCACACACCTGCCGATTAATTCCGTGAGCAAAAGTTCTGGTTCTTTCGCTGACATTTCACTATTTAAACTTCAGTTACGTGCCGGATATTAACGTCACTCCACCTCAGTATCTATTGTCCTATAACGTGAATATACACCACACCGGAGTATAATAATATAATATAAATACCTTGCCTCCGGCCTCGCGAGCCTCGGAAGTTTCGAACTCATTTAAATGAATTCATCGTCAACGCTATAATTAAAGTGCATATTACTTATATATAGGTAAGTTTATTAGGTTCCCCATTTAGCTTATTTCATCGGCTCGATTCAAGATTCTCGTCCATTTGCTCGCGTCCCAAAATTGCACGGCCACTAATCCGACTTTGTATATTACTTGTAATTGAATTAAGTTTCACTTGGTTTCATCGTCATACGCATTTACCAGAAACTCAAAGCTGGCGCATCATAAATTAAAATAATTACAGAATCATATCATATACCTACCTACATACTCAAAGCAAAATTATACGAACCATCTTAACCATAGGTATCTACAACCTACGTCATAATATAATATATTATATACCCATCTTAAAGTTGTACTCGGCCAGTAATAATTATAGGCAACTATTACAGTTTACATTTGTTTTTATTAAATATATTGTGGACGTTTCACATTTTTGTGATATTTCTGATCCTTGATTTTATATATTATTTTTATTGAAAACGAATCGTCAAAAGTTTTTATTAAAATTGATATGATAATAATTACATTGTTAGATATTTTATATAGTAAATTATATTATGGTAGATACGATTTTGACATTTTAGTGATTCTGTTACATGATAAATTTTTATACTTGGAGCACATTAGTCACCACTTTAATACCTATATTGCATTATATTATTATAGTAAATTATTAAATTTGATCGAAAAATTCACGTTTACTCTTAATAAAAACATGATTATAAAATATATTGAAATATAAAATCTGTAAAGGTTTTGTTATTCCTAAAAATGTAAATATAAATAAATATCAATGTTTATTTTAAATTAAAATCGTAATCTGATCAAAGAATACCTATAGTTGGTAGTTGCAACATATATAATAACAATCGACTTACAAAAATCTTCTTGTATCAACACCGATTCTGTAGGTATAACATAATAATTAATAATTAAATCCATTATTTAACATATTTTTCTCTAGTTCAAAATAATAGCAGGTACCAAGACATTTGGAATGCTCTGTAAACGAGCTTAGAGCGTATATTTTCCATTTTGTAACAAAAACAATACTTAGGAAAATCTGACTAATTTATTCAGTCACATATATAAAGTATAGTTAAATATTATAATTCAAACATTTGCGAGTCAATTGATAAACCATTTTTTTAATTACTCGGTGTAGTCACTGCAGTTATTAAAAAAATCAACTTATTAATTAAGTTCTGGCAAGATTAATTTATTGAAAGTTTCCTTATTGTCTACAATTATCTTATGGTAAATTCAAAATTAATTTTTATTTATTAAATGAATAGTAATTGTTCATCAAACCTTATATACAAAATCCTAGTTTTACTATTAACTAATATTAAATAGTTGTATAATAGGTCTTAGTTGTATAGGTGCTTATTATGAATTACAACAATCAGTGATGTAGATTTAATTACTTCATTAAAGTTTTGGGTGGAGTTTTTAATGATGAATAGAATATTGAAATGTGTGTTACTTAATATTTTCAATTCTACCTCCTGTTATGATTGAAAAAGCCAAATTTACTAAGACAATTATAGATAGGTACCTTGATACCTAGGTATATAAAAATCATTTGTATACAAAATCAAAATAATCAACCATCAAATATCACAATGGCTTATTATAGATATTAGCAAGATGCTTCAGGGTGTGAGTTGTAAAACTATTTTAACGATTTAACTTTATAATTAATAAATTCATATAATACTTTCATTTTATTATTAATATAAATAAATTATAAAAATAAAATAATACTATCCGATTGGTTTGTGTTTGTCAGCATTGTTATTTATCCATGAGGAGCACAAATAATAACCATGAGCTGCAGGGATGTATCTCAATACACATTGTATTTCAATGAAATCTCTAAAAATCTATAAATAGAAACAAATTTCAATAATGACCTTTAACCATTGCAGCTACGTCGGTGTCCTGTCCGTCACCGTTCACCAACAACATACTGACCGACCTGCTGAAAACGGGAAGCACTGCCAAGTTCGGCCTGGTCAAGTCCGTGGTGGCGGCCATAGCCACTCTGTTCCTGGCCAAGATACCCATACTGTTGGCCGTTAAGGCGCTCATGCTCAAGCTGTTCGTAGTACCTCTGGCTGTGGTCGTCCTGTCGCTGCCCGTGCTAATTCCCGCAGCCCTCCTGTTGCAGCCGCTATGGAAGCGGTGGAAGGAGTTTGTCGGCCTTGACTCGTCATCCAAACAGCCACAAATGGTGATGATGATGCCGGCAACGGATTCTACAAAGCCCGCCAACGACACATCCGCGACGCCCGCGGCCACCAGGGCACTGGAGAATAACCTGGAGAGTGTGCTCAGCAACCTGTTAGAGTCCGAGAGGTGCATGGAACGGCTGGCTTGTCAGCTAGGTGTCAGGGATGCTAGATCCGAGTACAAGCAACAGGTGTCCTGGTAAGTTCGATAGTTGTAATGTGTGTGTGTATATAAATATGCTTGCCTATATATATATTATATATATATATATATATATTTTAATGTTATTATATGAAATCTGCAGGTAGCTCAGTTAGCTCGCCATCATAATACCGTATATGGACATTACCATGGTAATAAACCTGTAGGGTTACTAAGGTTTGGATCCTTGATATTATATTTATAGATTTCGACATTTTGGTTTGTACAAATACAACATTTTGGATTCGGTACGATATTGGTCTATACATGCACACCTATATTTTAAAAATATAAAAAAATATAATTATACATATTACCTACTTAAAATTAAATATAGAAATACTACGATATTAAAAAAAACAAAACATTTTTGCACTTCTATAAGTAATCAAGCGAAGTATTATTTAACTATATTTTAATAATAAATTGTATATTTCTTAGGATCAGTTATTTAGAAAGAACTATCTGAGTTGTTAACTAAGATTAATTATTCCACAACAATAAATGACTGAAGTAAAAAATATTTTTTTAAAACTAAAAGCCACCCCTAACCCATTAAAACCTAAGATACATTTATATAAATTATTTTAATTAAATGTCAACTAAGTTATGCATATTTTAATACATATAATATGGTAAGATTATAATATGTATTTACTATTCCGAGATTCTTATCAGGGTGTGTAATTATTTTAAATAGCCCACTACTACAACACTAAAACCAATGGACTATGGTTTATGTTTTAGGACCTTAATTACATTATTCTTCATACTATAGGCTACAGAAGTAGATTGTGTATAATATGTTTTGACCTTAATTACATGTTGTTTAGCTGTTTTTTGTATATACGGTACTTGGTAAAATATAATATTTAATTGTTAAATAGTAAAACGTACTCCGTTTGAATACGAAACAGGCAACACAAATTACCTACTTCTCTAGTGATGTATTTTTTTCGTTTCCACATTCTAAAATATTGTATTTACATTTAGAATTTTCAATGTAAAATAATATTCAATTTCAGCACGATTTTTTTATTATATTTAATGCAAATACTGTTGAAAACTCGTATAAGCAATGATTTTTTTTTTATTTCAACAAAACCCTAGTATATTATAAATGTACAACCTCAATGTTTAAATATTTATGACAGTTCCTTTTTGATGTTTCAGATACATTATTTAAAATTATCAAAATAAAAAGGGTTATTTGAATGAAAACTCAACAAAATAATATTATGATAAATAACATATATTTTTAATAAACAGGAAAACTAAAATGCGCAGACACCTAATCGTCCAAAAGTATAATCAATAATTATGTAATTCTCACAGCTACTGCATTCCCTTGATGGCTAAAATATATTAGATTTGACAAAGGCATATAAATCCCTGAGTGGTGTAGTTAAAAAACGTGACGTATTAACCTGCATATTATATTATTGAAATCGATCATACGCACCTAAATTATATTAAATTTAACAATAATTAATATTAATTTCTGCAGTATTCATTCGATGTTTAATATTATTTCTCAATGTGAACAAGGAAGTTATTATTACATAAAGCGCATATTTACTAAATAAATAAATTCAGAGATTCATAGTTTAAAATAGTTATAGGGATGACCTACAATATTTCAATAAACAAATTCAATATTATGTCAATTACTATCCATCGTAATTAACTTTGTAAACTTTCGGCAACTTAAAATTTAAAATTTAAAATTAACATAATGGCTAGTTACTATGAATACAATTATTATTGTTATAAATAGATTATACGCCGAATATATTTTGTGTTCGTTATCATCATTGATGCATGTATGCTTAAAATGTATGTGATGCAATAATTAAGGATGAGTTATTAATATAATATTTTATTTAATTCGATTTGTAACAATTAACTCATTATTCGTTACCATGTCAACACTCTTCATCGGTATGATTGTTTTGAAATAACTTATTTATTTAAATTTTTTTAATAAAAAAATTAAATTATGAGTATACGGCGATTTATATATGCAATTTAGCTACTCTACTGTCATTTTCCTATTTTTCAGCACCACATACAAAATAATTATTTTTTTAATCTATTTCACTAATTACTACAATATTTGGTAAATCACTGTGACTTAATTAGTTACATCTCAAGTTGCCGATAATTTATGGACCCTTTGAAAATCCAAAATAATCTGTAGATATGGTTTTGTATGAAAAAAATACAGCTGACGTGCACGTAGAGTATTGCGTCTTAAGTCTAACATGGGTTCAATGCTAGTCTGGTGAAGTGTATACTTATCGAGTGGTCATTTTTTCATACTTAAGCCGTCCATGTATGTATTGGTTTAGGGTTAACTTGGTTTCAGCTGTTTAGGGTACCTACACATTCTGGCTAGGTACACAGAGTTAAAAAAAATGGAAATATATGAATAACTCTGAATATTTAACACATATTATTATACACATTTTAAATATACTATATTTTTATTTTTAAGTCGAATGTTAAAGGAAAAATAAGAAAATAATGATTAAAATTTAAATCATAAATTTAAATTTTCATAATATATGAGGTATATATACTATTAGTACTATAAAGTTTGTTTTACGTTGAAAATATGTGTAAATATACTATACATTCATGAAGTGATAGTAAAGTTTTGTAAATCAAAGAATGGCTTAGATGAATGCGTTTTGATGATTTTATAATAATGATAATAATATTCCATTTGAATAGGAAACCCTTTTTGGTTAAAAATTATTTAAAAATGTAGGTATTTGTAAGATACGGGTGCCGGTTGCCTGTTCGACGGTCATGTGTTCGAAAGTCGTGTGTTCGAAAATGTGTGTTCGAAAGTTCATGTCATCGAAAAATTGTATCTTCGAAAAGCCATGTGTTCGATAAGTCATGTGATTAAAAGGTAATTTGTTCGAATAGTTATTTGCACGGAGCTGATCCAATAAGTGTAGGAGCAAGAAAAATAAAAGAAACTATAAAAAAAAATGCACGAGAAAATCATGATAAACCAATACAAATATACCACGCTGCAATCGCAGGAAAGTCTCAAACAATTAATTCACATGTCAGTAAAGAAGCGGCTCGACAAATTATTAAACGTCAAAGACGTAATGAAGATATTTACTTGGAGCCACAAACAGCAGATATAATTGACTTACCGTTATACTTGCGTGAAACATTATCAGGTAATGCATTTTTAGTAAAAAAAACCAACGAAGTTTTGTTGTTTACAACTTATGAAAATTGTACATTTTTACAAGAATCGAACTGTTGGATAGCAGATGGAACTTTTAAAGTGTGTCCAAATATTTTTTACCAATTATATGTTATTCATGGTTTAATTAAGAGAGGAAATGATACAACACAACACATTTTTGTTCCACTGGTATATGCTTTAATGACTTCAAAAACAGAAGAACTTTACGTAAAAATGTTTAAACTTTTAATTGAATTCTGCAATGATAATAATAAAAGAATTGATGATAATCCTGATTTAGAAATTTATTTTCATACTTACATTTATTTTACTTTAATAATAATACAATTTAATAATATATATAATATTTTATTACAATTGAAACATAACTATTCGAACAAATTACCTTTCAAACACATGGCTTTTCGAAGACACAATTTTTCGATGACATGAACTTTCGAACTCACATTTTCGAACACTTGACTTTCGAACATATGATTTTCGGACAGTTGACACCCACCCGTAAGATACACACAGAAACAATAATACACATGACGGATACGATTTGTACGTTAAATTTGTTTTTAAACGTACGACGTACAAAAACCCTGCGGGAATTAAATATAATAATATGTACCTACTAAAAATACTAGACAGTTTTAATGAAACTTTCACTTGAAACTAACTAAAATTGTAAAATTTAATCATTAAATTAGGTATTATGAACTACTTTTCGTTTGAATTTTGTGATTTATAGCCGTATATAATTAATGACGTTTTACTTTTTTTATTTTACTATACATTGATAACAACGATTTATTACATAGGTAAAATTTATCATTACATCGAGGCGTATGTTTTATTTTCTTACTTTTTTTTTTTACAAACAATATCAATCACCATTAGCACATTATAGACATATATTTATTCCTGTATACAACTGTATATAGAACCGAACCATTTCTAATTCGAAATTGTAGTAACTATTACGGCTGCATAGGAAATCCTATACTATTCTGATAATTAAATAAATTCTACTGTCGGTAGAAAATCGTCTTTTATAATCGGAGGAAGAACCTCCCGACGAGTGCCACACAGCATGTTTTGTTGTCGAATGAGTTTTCACTTTTATAGTTATCCTATAACTTGCGATTCGTTGGTGACATTTTTACATTGTATTTTTTTTTTTTTATAATGAAGGTGTCGATGATTTTTGTTCCATTTTTAAAATCTTGACATTCAAATATAACATCGATATTGACCGGCAATATTAAATAATGCACAAGTACTAAAAAAATTCTCAATAATGTTACCACGTCGGCCACAGTAAAAAAAAAATTGTTTTAATGTGCATAGACGACACGACGTATGGTTGTGTTAACATATTTTCATTAGTTCGAAGCATTTGGAAAAGCAATGAGAATAATAATATTAAACATTAAAAATGAATAATCACCGTACATATTCATCACAATTGAACTGCGTTCATTTTTTAATTTTGTAATAGGTACTTAAAGAACCAGTTTATTCGTTAGAACCCATTGTGTGACTATCGACATAATATTAATATGATATATCGTGAAAGTTATAAACAAGAGAGATAGTTTAATTTTCATGAAATTACTTCAAAGTTTAATTTTATAGATTATTTCTGTTTGAAAATAATAATATGAATTATTTATGTAACATTATTTAGAATTAACTTCATATTTTAAATAACCTATCATCTATTCAGAAAACTCCAATAGAAATATCAAAGGTTGTTCAAACTCACATCTCTAGC